TTAGCATATATTGCACGATCCTTCGCAGTAAAGCACTATTTGAGCAATAGTGAAAATCAGACCTGAAAAAAATTTCAGGCCTGTACGGGATTCGAACCACTGACCTCTGCGATACTAGTGCAGCGCTCTACCAATTGAGCTAACAAGCCAACTGGGAGCAGGCCATCAAATTAATTCGACATAAACCCGTAGATGATAAATCAAACAACAACAAACATATGAAACATATGTATGAACTGCGGTTATGAAACGTATATATGCACGATCCTTCGCAGTAAAGCACTATTTGAGCAATAGTGAAAATCAGACCTGAAAAAAATTTCAGGCCTGTACGGGATTCGAACCACTGACCTCTGCGATACTAGTGCAGCGCTCTACCAATTGAGCTAACAAGCCAACTGGGAGCAGGCCATCAAATTAATTCGACATAAACCCGTAGATGATAAATCAAACAACAACAAACATATGAAACATATGTATGAACTGCGGTTATGAAACGTATATGTGCACGATCCTTCGCAGTAAAGCACTATTTGAGCAATAGTGAAAATCAGACCTGAAAAAAATTTCAGGCCTGTACGGGATTCGAACCACTGACCTCTGCGATACTAGTGCAGCGCTCTACCAATTGAGCTAACAAGCCAACTGGGAGCAGGCCATCAAATTAATTCGACATAAACCCGTAGATGATAAATCAAACAACAACAAACATATGAAACATATGTATGAACTGCGGTTATGAAACGTATATGTGCACGATCCTTCGCAGTAAAGCACTATTTGAGCAATAGTGAAAATCAGACCTGAAAAAAATTTCAGGCCTGTACGGGATTCGAACCACTGACCTCTGCGATACTAGTGCAGCGCTCTACCAATTGAGCTAACAAGCCAACTGGGAGCAGGCCATCAAATTAATTCGACATAAACCCGTAGATGATAAATCAAACAACAACAAACATATGAAACATATGTATGAACTGCGGTTATGAAACGTATATGTGCACGATCCTTCGCAGTAAAGCACTATTTGAGCAATAGTGAAAATCAGACCTGAAAAAAATTTCAGGCCTGTACGGGATTCGAACCACTGACCTCTGCGATACTAGTGCAGCGCTCTACCAATTGAGCTAACAAGCCAACTGGGAGCAGGCCATCAAATTAATTCGACATAAACCCGTACAGGCCTGAAATTTTTTTCAGGTCTGATTTTCACTATTGCTCAAATAGTGCTTTACTGCGAAGGATCGTGCACATATACGTTTCATAACCGCAGTTCATACATATGTTTCATATGTTTGTTGTTGTTTGATTTATCATCTACGGGTTTATGTCGAATTAATTTGATGGCCTGCTCCCAGTTGGCTTGTTAGCTCAATTGGTAGAGCGCTGCACTAGTATCGCAGAGGTCAGTGGTTCGAATCCCGTACAGGCCTGAAATTTTTTTCAGGTCTGATTTTCACTATTGCTCAAATAGTGCTTTACTGCGAAGGATCGTGCACATATACATACCTAAGTTAAGCGCGTACTTCGATAACATTTTTTTCAAGCTAAAACGAAAAGAATTTCGGTGATGCAATTTCGTACAAGATGTTTATCTCGCAATTGTCTCTAAATCTTGCAAGTCGTGTGAAATTCAAAGAGCTACTGTCTGGTAAAAACGCACTCGATGATAATCAACATATGGAAGTGTAAATACGGTCTTCTTTTGGGGTGGTTTTGAAATTTCAATTTCTTCGATTTGCACTTTGCACCTGTCCTCCAGCTTCACCTAAACATTGATGATTCACATTGAGCAGGCCGGGTTGGAGGGGAGGGACCTAGGACGCGGCTACGTAGGTTCCTTAAAGCTGGGAAAAATCGTAGCCATCGTGACTGAAATTAATGAAAAATTGCAAAGAAGCCAGGGAAACATTCGGCGGCTTATTACGTAACTGATACCGCCTGCTGTGAGCATGCCGGATGAGATAATACCGCCCGTTTACGGAACCAATTATATTGTAGGATTTGTAAAATACCTTCTACTTTCGCATTGGGAAAAAATTCATTATTTCATTTTAATTTTTTCAAACAAGACTGAACCCTGCTATGCTGCAATTACATCAAGTCAATTAACCATACCTTTTTACCGCCACCGCGTCAATTAATTGGCCACCTCTTTGCTTTCAGCGCGAAAAAGTCAACGCCTGCTATCAGCTTGGAACAATCCTCATTGCAAATGTATTTAATCCACAGTTAATTGTTATGCTAATCCTTCCCTTATTGTGATGTTCCTGCCAAAACATCACGTACTTTAGACCGGAATATCAAAAGCGTCTTTATAAAGTCTGAGCGTCGGTTTAGGAAATATTCATTGTTACTTTACAGATGGGGAAATATACGATCGGTTCCTGTATTGGTAATTACTGTTTGATTCAAGTTTATTGAACTGGGCATTCTCGTGTTTGCTCAACAGGGAATATGATTTTAGAGATACTAACATATGTTGGTCTTTCAGTCTCGATTTTCAGTTTCCTGTTAGTCTTGGTGACTTATTCACTTTTTAAACAGCTTCGAACTTTACCTGAAGTCAATGTAATGAAATAGAGTAAACTGACTATATCTAACTTGAGCTCTCGTTTTGTTTGTTTGTTTTTTTTTTGTTTATTTTTTCATTTTTTCTTCATTTTGTATTTGTCATGTACTGACAAGAGATCCAGAAACACCCAGAAAACATAGCGGTAACTCAAGCATGTCTTTTCATTTTTAACCATGCGTGCGTATATTTTTATATGTGGTAACTGCACAGGGAGACCATAACAGTATTTATCACTTAAGATTTTTTTTTTTTTTGTTAGTCGGGTAATCAAGACGTTCATATAAACAAGAGAAGGTAAAAACGAACTGGGAAGAGCGCGGAAAGTACGTAGTGCGGTGTTTGTGCCCAACTCCACTAATTAGAGACTTTAAGCAAACCACGACGGCTAGGGCAACGAGAACGTGGAAAAACAATAGATATAATTGGCAGAACAATAGCCCAGCACGTGCGTTTTAAAATTTTGCACATTTCTTAGCCGAAATCACCAAAATTTGCGTCGTCTGCGAAGCGAAACCGCAGCGGCAAATTATTTTACATTTGGAACTCCACGCTACTTTTATGCGTTATGTTGAGTTTGAGGTCTGGCACCCTATGAGACGGTAAACACATGCAGCCATTTTCGAAATTCTAAATAAAAGTAGAAACTCATTTTTTAATCGACGTCTTCCGTGGCGTTGCCGTACTGACTGCTTAAAGTCCCTATTATCTGCTTAGTTAAGAAGGCAAAAAAAAAAAAAATAATAATAAAATCATACAATCATACCAGCTCGACAAACATTTTTACTCATGATTTTTTTAAACAAGTTCTCGGTTCAAAAAACTGCAGATTTCGAAATCTTTTGATTCGCAATTTAGCTAGTCCAATTCACACTGAATTTCATGTTCCAAGTCGACATGGGCAACTAGACCGTTTATCATTTGGCTAAACTATTTATGTTTAGGATGCTCCGTTTCATGAAGGAAACCTAGACTGTCTATAGTTTGGCCATGCCATTCCTTTATTAGCTATGCTATCCTGCTGCTGATCCTTACACCATCTTTGTATTTACTGATCTATTTGACATCCTTGTATTTTTGGTGGTGACGGCCGCCCATAAAAATCGTTTCTAATTATACTTTCAGAAATCAAATTTTCCTTTAACATACATATATAGATATGCAAAAGAGCATCTGGATACTTAGGGCCAAATCTTATTAAAACAAAGTTTAGCATATGTGTAACTTCTAAACTATGTTACTATCTTTCTTATTTTATTTATCTTAAATGTAGCTGAGTCTTTTATCTGAATATTTAATTTTTGTGAACGCTAGCAGTGGAACGACATTTATGTAACAAAAACAAACGTGTTACAGAGAATACGTAAGGAACACTACTTGCGTAAAACCGCGGCTTGGGTTAGAGGGCGGAGAAATCATTTACCCAAGAACCCTCACAAAGCGGAAAAATTTTAGTGTTGACGTGGTGTCTCGTTTTCGGCGACTGTTCGTTAGTATAAATATCTGTTTACTGTAGATTTCATGTTTGGAAGCGAAGCCGAGCGTTGTAAGATTGCAATTGGTGCTCTTTCCATTTTTGACAGTTCGTTCCTCATCGAGAGTAACACCTGAAGGAATAATTGCTAATTTCTGGGAATCTTCTCTTCTAACGATGGAGAAAGCGGATAGCATTGTTTCCTGCCTTGGTATTTGCTGTTTGATTCTAGTGTCCTGCCCACCGAATTTAAGTGGAAGGGCAACGAAGTTTAAACAACTTGGACAAGAAAAAAGCTCGTTCACAAAATTCCGCTCGATGTATTTTAAACGCCGACAAATTTCTCAAGATGCCGGACATTTTCCACCAAAATATGAGGCTCACCAATCGGAAGCACGGAACATTACACCTGTTTCTTTGTTGAACGGAGAAAGAAGCAATTTACTCGGTGAGTGTTGTGTTTGGTAAATACTTCCTCTATAAGGCAGGGCAGAATTTTCTTTCACAGGGTTTCATTTCGACAGGGATCTCAGAATTTTTGCAATCAATACTTCTAAAAACTATTAATCATATTTTTGTAAATCATCTATCACTTTGTATAGAATAACATTCTCGAACACGGGCTAGTTTTTCTTTTTCTAACGAAAGAAAAGAAAAAATAGAGTTAAGATAAGAAAATAGGGACGAGTTTTCTTCTGCCTAAGTAACGGAACGACACGAACATTTTAAGAGGGGTTCTCTCGCTGGATTCGATGGACGGATAAGCCGCTTATGACATTTGAGTTTTCCAATTTTTCCGGAATAAAATGTGGTCGTAACAAGAATGAAGCCTGAGAAAAATTAACATTTGATTTGACATGATAACGTCATTACGTCATGCTCTATTGTTAACATTTCCTGTCAAATTTTACGAAGATGTGCATTCCTAACATTCACGACCTTAAATTGCCACTAATACGCGTTCAAAAACGCGGTTGAGATGGTAAATAATGATCGAACACTTCAAAGCCGTTGAAAACGAAGTCTGTGCATAAGTTGCATTGTTTATGTTTGTCGAATTGTTTACTCATGCATTGTATAAAATAGTTATGCAACACTTTACTTCTATGGAATATACTACTAAAAAGCGCAAATTTCTTGATATAAACAACAGTCAGTAAAGTTGTGTGGGCACCGTTACTGAGGGGAGAGGTTATTCCATTTATAACTTCTCTTAGTATAATTTCAGTGCTGAGCAAAGAGTTTCCAGCAATCTGATTGGTCTAGCGGTTCCTTATATGACGCTATATAAAGCGCTCCACGCGGTTTATATAAAATGTTAAAATAAAATGTTAATAAATGTTACTAAAATGTTATGATTTTAGAAATTTCTCTGTTGCTCAGCTCTGAAAGTATACTAAAACAATTGAGGGTTAGAATGTCGCTGTAGGTTCACGTTGCGTTGCAGTTTGGTTCAATATTTCATAAGGCATTGTCTCAATTCTTTTTGTTGTTTAATTTCCATGAATGTGCCTACCCTCTTGTTTTTCATTGAAAAACTTTCGGTGGAGTCTAAAAGTAAGCGCCGGCTTTATGGTGGTAACTTCTATCAAACGTGTTCCAGATCCTTGTTCGCACACTTCACTAACTCCCTTCGCTGTCTGTATTAGACAAATGAGTTTTGCCCTAAAAGCTGTGTTTTGTCTCCACTGCAGGCTACGAAGCAAAAAGAGTGCGGCGAAATATCAGTCCTTCGCCAGCAATTTACGAGACCTGTCTTTACACAACTCTTCCGCTTAGTTCCCGATCGAATATCATCTGGTGGTTTCCTCCCGTTGAGCCAACTGTCAAGCCTTCTGGGTATCTTTGCCCGCAAGGTCACGTGTATGACATCTATATTCAAGACTGCCGCCTTGGTATCTCTGCGTCTGATTTTGGTAAAAGAATCCTTTTTATTGAATTTCATATCTTAGTTCAACGTCCCATGCTTGGAAATGAGACCACCGTAAAACAAGCAATAACCGACCAGTTGAGCATCCATGGCGCATCAGTTAATGTCATCAGAATCGGAAAATTCCCCGGCGGTCATTGTGTTCAAGTAATTGTCAACCTCGATCAACGCTATTTTTCTTTACAAAGCCTCAAGAGTGCAATCAGCTCTCCTTCTATGGGTTCCCTCATTTTTAGGGAAATCCACAGTAATTTCTCTTGTCCTCTTAAAAAGATCTTCATGCCTGATGAATATACAGTTGATGGAGATGAAGTAACTGTCACAGCTACTGGAGAAACGTATCAAGAAAATGACTTTTACTCGCCCCGAACTGCATTGAAGAATGGGACTTACCTTCCTGTTGGTGTCCTTACAGTCTGCAAACAACCCTCTATAAACTGTTCCGGAGTCTTTATTGGATTAACAAAAGACAGTTATTCTCTCTCATCAGGAGGTTCTCTCTATCGAAACACATCCAAAGATTTCATCGAGCCTGGACTATTTCAGGTGATAGATGGAACGGCTTGGGTTTGCGTGAACTACTCTTCAAGTGTCCTAAGCCATTTTCGTACTGGAACAATTAAAAATGTGGTTTTAGTGATAATCACATATGTTGGTCGCTCTATCTCGAGTTTCGGTTTTTTGTCAGTCTTAGTGACGTACTCACTTTTTAAACAACTTCGAACTTTTACCGGAATCAATTTGATGAATCTCTCTTTGGCGTGTTTGTTTGCAGACCTAGTTTACCTGTCATCAGCTGCAGCAAGCGGTGCACCGGAGCTCGTATGTACAATAATCGCTATTTTAATGCATTATTTCTCTCTGGTGTCCTTCACCTGGATGTCAATCATCGCGTTTGAAACGTGGAGGACATTTTCCTTAATCCAAATCCAGCCTAGAACTCTGACCAGAAGAGAAAGGTCCTATCATCTTTCACGAAGAATTGCAGTGGGATGGTTTCCTGCTACTGTTTTCGTCGCGGTGTGTGTAGCTCTTAACCAGTTCCACGCGGTCATTTTTCGTTACGGTGCCACTTCCACTAACCTCTGCTGGATAAAAAACCCAACTGCGATTTTGTTTTGGTTCGCTCTGCCAACAGCCATCGCAATTTCATTCAACACAGTATTCTTTTTCTTAACTGTGAACGCTGTACGGAAAGCAAGCCATCAACTGAGAGAGGCAACGAACTACACAAAGAATCGCGTAACGGCGGTAGTGTATGTTAAGATTTTCAGTTTAATGGGCTTCACATGGATTTTTGGCTTTTTGCAATCGGTTCACAGGAACTTTGCATACCCATTTGTTATATTAACCTCCTTCACGGGACTGTATGTAGCGCTAGCGTTTGTGTTCACACCAAAAATCAAGAGTTTGTATCACGCTATATTGTGCGCTAATTCAAGAGTGACTCCTGTTACCCCAGAAGTAAATAACGGTAAACTTAAAGATGTAAGCTGAAAAACTTATAAGTCAGATTTATGATCTAAAAAAAATTGTGAAGATGGTAGAGAATTACTAATTTACTGTCACGCTTCACATATTGTGCCATATGGTAAAAAGAAATTTCGCAGTTCAAAAATGTAAAAGCTGTTACTTTAAATGAAATAAAGCAAACTGACTATATGTAACACGGGCACTTTTTCATCTGTTTGTTATTTCTACTTTTTCTATCTTGGGTAATTATGGATTCTGAAAGCTAAACAATAATTGGACAGAGTAGCGGGAAATAGGTAGCACTGTCCTTGCGTCCAACTCCAGGCGGAGCTCATCGGACAAAATGACACTGAAAATGATCTACTTCGTTCAAGAAAAGAGGAAGAAAAATCTAACCACTTGACAAGCTCGACAACGACTTTAAGAGAGTGTCTCTGTAAAAGCGGTCCGGTCGATTTTGCTTGAGACACAGATTTCGCTCATTTCTTGTGTGTTGTAAGACATTCATGTGCCTATACCAAAACCACAATCCGTTTGATCGGATCTCTTTATTTTTCAAAGTTTTACGGAAATGAAATTTCACTCGAGCGAAGGCCTGTCGTGACACTTTTCAAGACTTTAATTTGAGACAACTTTGGAGGACAATTTAAAAAAAACTACGGAACTCAGCAAAAAACAAATACCACAGCCATGTATATTAATTCTATCTTATCCATCGAGGCGACTTTCGTGAACATCACATTTCAATCAAGGAAACAGGAAGACTTGAATGACACCTTATCGAAAT